CAACGAGGCGTCAGAAAAGCCAATCAGCGCAAGGCACGAATTATTTTCAAAAAATGAAATATGTCTTGGTATTTTGAGTGAATTGATTAAATCAAATTCGTCCTGAATTTTTTCCCATACACTACTTATCTCTTCAGGGGCAATTTGGTCCCAATCTAGATGTATTTCCCAAAGTCTTTTAATAAGAGTTTTTACCAACAATGTAAGTGGAGAAATGAAGCCTAATGGATCAAACGTGCGCGCAACCAAGGATAGCATATTGCGTTTTGTGCATGCTACCTTATGATTATTAATTTGAAAACTGAAGTTATCATTTGATGCCTCCCATTTTAATCCCAACACCTTCAAACTACAATTATCGAATTCTTTCGTTTGGTTAAGTTTCAAATCATTTGGAAGTTTTGCTAGTACTTCGGACGAATTTGACATCCATTTAATCATCTGAAAACCCCCCGATCGGAACATTTCAACTAATTGGACCTGAATTTTGAGAGCTATATCATTGTTCGGCATGCTACTTATAAAATCATCCATGTACATGTCACGATTGACTGGATCAACCGCAAGAGGGAAACGTTCAGATTCATCTAAACATAACTGTTTCACCACTCTTAGGCTGAGAAATGGTGATGATTTAACCCCGAAGCTAAGCCTATTTAATTCATAAACTGAAATTGGTTCATTCACATCGAATCTCCACAAGATTCGTTGATATTTTCGATGAGATTCGATCAATTTAATTTGTAGGTACATCTGACGCAAGTCCGACACAAGAGCTATGGGAAAAATCCGAAAATTCAACAAAATATCTACGGGATTCATTTGTAACTTCGGACCAGTATATAACACATCATTCAATGATTTTCCTGTTTCGGTTTTCATGCTGGCATCAAAGACAATACGGCAAGGGGTGGAAACACTACTTGTTTTGAAAACGCAATGGTGCGGGATGTAATAGGCGGGTAAATCGATTTCCTTAGGATCAACTAACGACATAAAACCTTGATCGAGGTAGTCGTTGAGAATTGAGCAATATGTTTGACGTAGGCTTGGCAATTTTTGCAACTTTCTTTCGAGTGAAATCAGTCTATTTCTGGCTAAGTGGTATGAATTTCCTAATTGTAAAGGATCATCACAGAAGGGAAGCGATACAGTATAGCGCCCCTGTTCATCCCTTTTAACATTATCAACGAATAATTTCTCACAAATATCTGTCTCTGGAATTTCCGGTGAAGGCGAATTGTCTTCTATCTCCCACAGTTTCTCAACTAATGATTCTAGGTTCGAAAATGCACAAAAAAAATTATGATCACCTACTTTTTCCATATTCAAGTAGGCCGAACCCATCACCATATATCCAAATACTGTTTCTATAGCACTAGGAGTGCCTGGTAAGCCCAAAATCCGATGCGACCCGATAATTTCGGAAAACATCGTTGCTCCTAAAATACCATCAATCACTCCCGGAAAATTAAAAGTTGGGTCAGCTAAGGAAATGTTTTTCAAATGGTGCATTGAAGAAATATCAACTGGTACGTCCGGTAAACAATTGGTGATTTTTTCTACAATCAACATTTCAATTAAGAATTTTTTATCAGAATGCATATTGGATGTGATCATTAAATTGGTTTTTCCGAAAACCGGTTTGCTAGAACCTCCGATCCCGATAATGTTGGACGAAAGTTTGGAAAAAGCTAATCCTAGCTTTTTGCAGCAATCGATGGTCAACAAATTCGACATAGACCCGCTATCTAATAAAAACCGAACTTGTTGTTCTTTATTCCAGCGATCAACTACTTTGACCAGGACCGTACTCAATAAAATTGTTTGGTGTCTCTTCAATTTTGATTCATTTTGTATCATAGTAAGTCTGGTACATAGACTATGTATATTTTCAGGCACATTAGAACTTTCAGTGTTTTCTCTATTCAAACACGAATTTGAGTTCGTCATTATTTCAACAGTATTATTTTTCTGGTTTGGCTCATTCTTACATAAGAGGGTATGGTGACGATGTTTGCATTTGAGGCAATTGAATTTGGATTGGCACGCATTCACTTTATGTTTATTTGAAAAACAATTCAAACATAAATTATTTTCTTTTATCAACTTGAAGCGCTTTTCTTGTGATGACTCATGAAAATGTTTACAATCTTTAAGTAGATGTGATCCTTTATGACAGGCAACACAGGAAGGAAATGGAATGGTATTTATTTTGGAACTACTACACGTAGATTCTGTGAAAAAACTCTTAGTTGGTTTCATTCGATTAGACGTGTTAACCATAGCATTATTGGATATGAAACGTGGTTTATCATTTCTGATGACAATTTTGCTTTGTTGGCGTAAAAATTTTAACAGCTCATCGTATTTAGGCAGATCCTGGCTAGATCTTACGAGTTCAAAAGAACTAATTGTTTCTTGGGAAAGTTTCGATAAAGCAATATGTGTCAAAATATGATCATCTAAGTCATCCAACTTCAGTCTCTTCAGAGCTGACACATTAGTGTCGAATCTTTCTAAAAACATTTGTAAACTCGAGGGATGGTTGCTGCTTACACTTTTACAGTTCACAATCCTATCGAGATATAAGTTGAACAAATATCTCTTGTCATCGAAATTTTCTTCTAACAATTTCCAAATTATATCATAGTTATCGGGAAGCGCTTCTATCGAGTTGCATGTTTTCAATGCCTTTCCAGACAAGCTACCTAATAAATATTGTAATTTTTCGGCTTTCGAAAGTTCTAGCTTTGAGTGAACAAAATGTTTGAAATTTTCATGGAATAACGGCCACAAAGCAAGATCTTCCCCATCAAATTTTACTAATTCTATTTTTGGCATTGACAAGCGATGTGGTGCATTAGCAGTTTGAGTATTTTGACTGCTAGCGGTACTTGTTGTCAGAAATTTACTCGCAAAATATTCAATATGAGAATATAAGTCCTCAAAACCATCTCTAATATTATAATTAGGCGCTTCATCTGGCTTCAGTTTTTGTTTCACAATGATTATCTGCTGGACAAGATTCTCGTGTTCCTCCGCAGTTTTGGTAAATGTATTATAACGAACACTAAAATTTTTCGAAGCGGTTTGATCAACTGGGCTTCGCTCTAAAGCCAACCCTGCCTCATAGCAGAGCTGAGCTCTACGAAAGACGTTTTCGCGTTTGGCAATGAGTCTATCCAACTCCAATTCAGTCGGATTAGGCGGATTAGGCATGGTTATGTAATTTGATCTAACTGAACTGATCCGACAACTTAATTATGAAGACCCAACAAATACTTGGGTATTTGCTTGGCCACTCATGTGGTAGATATCACTCCGATATCACTTGAAGGATTCTCTAAAGTAGGTATACAAAACGATATTGGGTATTTCAAGTTTCAATTATAAATATAGATATGTATATTTATTTGGTTCACGAACTATAAGTAGGTACAGCCGGTACCGGTACAACAACGAACGAATTTGACAATGACGTAAGAATAAACGATATGGAATTATTGGAATTTGAATCGAATATGGCTCTAAGGACCAAAAATGTTAGGAATATTATCTCATTATTTCAACTGCTCTTAAAATTGTGGACTGTAAAGGACTTACCGAAATATGTTGCGGCTTTCTCTGACGTCACTGTCACTATTTGAAAGGGAAATCAGGATAGGGCTAGAGAGTATGGATCAGTAAAGGAAAATAGTGAAATATTAAATATTATATGTTGTCGGCCGGTCGCGAAAATGCTAGATATTGTTTGGTATTGTTTTTCTCTCGTCGCGTGCGATACAACTGAACTCTTCCTTTTTGATGTCATTCCACTACCCATGGAAATACGTATATGCAAAAGAGAATCAGTACAAAAAGTCAAGAGACCCTTTTTTGTTAGACCAAATATATTCTTTCACGAGGTGAATTTACTATGAAGTATTTGACACGATTCTTTAACTGATATACAGGCAACCAAACATACAATTTTATATCGGCCAAAACAGAACACTGTATGAACTCACTAAAAACTATTTCCACCTGAATATTGAAATACTTTTTGTACAAAATATCCACAGATAATTCGCGACGTGATTTCAACAGGTTGAAGTGACATTAGAATTGAAGCCATACCTACTATACTACTCTCTATAGATGTCCAACGTACATGTTAACCTCTTGTTTCATTTCGCCAGCGCCTCTGGTGTTTGGTAGCTCAACTATTCCGAGTAGCGGGAATTTTGAATCCAAACTATGTTGTATTCAAATAGTTTACCTGAGAGAAGCCCTTGTAAATAGCCAAGGAGATGGAATGTCATCGGCATAACATGCTTCCATCTCTTCTCTTCCAACCATCCGCAGGTAATGAAATGAAAATGGTCAGTTAAAATGAGAACAATAGATTGAAATGAATCATTCTTTAATTAGGTCATAAAAACTGTGATAAAATGAAACTAAACAATCATTACAAGATCTTCAATCACTTTATCCACTCTAGAAACCTGGTAAGTTTTTTCGAAATTTGGAAAATGATGTCTGAAGGGGCCTGGCACTGCACACTTGTCGAGTCCTAAACTTCACTTTTGTTCGAATCAAAAATCAACTATATTGTTGTTTACTTCTTCACTCTTGATTGAAAAATGAGATGATTGGTGAAAAATTGGAAACATAGCACTTCTAAACGAGAAAATCACACTTCTGAACGGGAAAAAATCACAACAAAGAAGACATGTCAATCGTCTTTCTGCAAACAGAATATGGACGCCATTTTGGAACCAATGTGTCTATGCTTGCAACGCCTGCGCTCTATCACAAATCACGGATCATTACATCAAAAGGACGTCTATTGTTTGGTGGCTGAACTTGTTCAAGGTCATCCTATCTACTTGGAGGTCTAAAGAGTGTAGTTTGTTCATAATTGAAGCCTAAGAGCATACCGAGTGACTCTAGCGGTTGCCATTCCACCTTCTGCACCAACTATCCGCGACCCTTATAATGTATATTTTTTGTTACAGCTTCCTCAGCGTGAAGAAATGGCTACTGCGCAAGAAGCACCAGATAGAGCTGGCGCGCAAGCGCGGCTGGAAGGGCTACTGGGTGTGCTTGAAGGGCACCACGCTGCTCTTCTACCCTTGCGACTCGCGAGAGGGCAGGTCTGTCATAGGATAGGGTCCTTCCTATTAACTTTGAATGAGTAGCCTGGATTATATCATTTCCTATGCATGAGTTCTATTATTGTTATATGCTAAAATCAGTTCCCATCGTGCTCAGTAGTATCAAGTTACCAGCGATAACAATTCCTCAGAATATGATCTTGACCTTGAAGTCAGCATCCGCAGAAATGGAATATAATATCTGCTGACGCTGGCATCAGCATTATTTTCAATATAAAGTAATTTTATATTGTATCAAAAAGTCTTGAACTGAAGCTCATTGAATAAACTCAATCTATGAAAAAAAAAAATTGGCGCAGTCGGTAGGATTCAATATAGTACTTACAGGATCAGTATCATTGAGTTCGTCGCATTCTCGTAGATTCTGCCAGGGACATCACCAGGTGTTCCTTCCACAGCTCTTCGAGTGATGACTCCCTCAGGTTGGTTCTTTGATTTCGGCAAAGGATTGGGATCCATCGTCACTAGTTAGGTCGTTTCCGTGTTCTAGCAACGTCACAAAATCTGTACGACTGCGCCAATTTGTTATCTCGTGTGTTTCGAAATAGACTTTTCAAAAAACAATGGTATTCATTCGGGCATAGATTGAGTTTATACAATGAACTTTATTTCAGGACTGACTTTTTCATGCAATATAAAATGAATTTATAATGATGCCAGCGTCAACAGATATTATATTCCATTTCTGCAGATGCTGATTTCAAGGTCAAGATCATGTTCTGAGAAATTGTTATCGCTGGTACCTTGATACTACTGAGAACCATGGGAACTGATTTTAGCATATAACATATAACCGAGCATATAACATTAATATAAAGTGGCTAGTCACATTTCGAACATTGAATATAGCAAATATTCCGGGGGCATCTAGAACGTCAGAATATAAAGTATAAACATATGATCTATAGGAATATATTTCATCAGAATGGTCATTCTCAGGAAACATAATTGACAGGAACTGTATTCTGTAGGCACATTCTTCATCGCAATGTGAAACAAAGAACGGTACTTTGTAGGCGTATCAAGAAATCTTGTACAGGAAAGATATTGCATCAATATCATCATCTAGTTCTCCATTATTCTACAATTTTTTCACTCGCTCTACCCAGGCAAATATGTATCTTCAATTCAAACTTCCGATTCGTATAACGAGAGTACAGAAACGAATACAACTTGCCAATCGCCACCAACTTAAGATTTCGTTAAATGGAGCTACTCACACTATAAATTCGTCTGGAATTTGCACTATGTGTACTAGGTATGCAAAAAAACGAATCCGCGGAGCATTTATTCCTTCATTGTCCTCTGTACTGAAATCTTCTTCAGACAGGGCCAAAGCCCTTTATGATTATGTTACATGCATATGCCAGTTAAGGTCATTCGTCCTAAACGAATAACCCCACATTGCATCTCTATAGCCTTCATTATCCAGTGTGATATCTATATGATTTGTTGTAGTTTAAATCGCCTTACCATAACGTAGTATAATTATTAAGTAAAAAATTGATTAGGTTCAAGTAATAATTATCAATTAAATTTATATTCAACCAAACCTCTTTCTTCTAGAATATTTTGTATCTATAAAGGGGGTAGAGATTTCATTTTATTTCATCCATTCAGTCTTAATAACTATTTTCTATTTATTTTATATATTACAGGTCTGTGGAGGCAGCTCCCAAGCACCTCATTATCGTCGATGGTGCCATCATGCAACCAATTCCCGAGCACCCCAAGAGGGACTACATCTTCTGCCTGAGCACTGCCTTTGGGGACGCCTACTTGTTCCAGGCACCTTGCCAGGTCAGTATGTCTTGACAGTGTGGGAATTTTCCCATATTATGGGAATATTTGTTGAAAAATATACAGTGTGACTCATTTTCAATGGAAACACCTCCCTGAAAATTGAAGTTGTGAACCGATTTCAAGATTTTATTTTTTGTAATGTCAAGTACTGAAAGGTCTACCTTGGGACAAAATTTGCAATGATTATCTCAATCTTCAGGGCATACTAGGATAATTGTTCTTAGTCGAGAATCGATATTTTTGATCAGCTATTTTTTTATTGAAAAAAATCACTACGCCACTGGATTCAGAGTGCCTATGAACAGGTGTGACCAAAATTCCATGAAAAAATAATCATAAATAAAAAAGTTATGACAACTCAAAAATTCGAAAACCCACACAGCTAACAGTCACACAAGTCCTACACTGTAGAAAATATGACGTCACCTCCGCTGAAATTTCCATGCTATAGGCACAATCACGCGAAGTTCAATCATTTCAATTGTTTTAAGGGGGCGTACCTGTTTTTTTTTTTCTCATATTTTGTTCAATTTTTGGGATGAAATTCCTCGTTAATTAGAAGAATTTGAGAAAATCTGATATCATGGGCATATTCATTAGGCTGTATCATATTGATGTGATAAATATTTGCATTTATTTCAAAAACACCTTAAATATACATAGTTCGAAACTGGAATTGAACGATATTTCAGAATTATAATGGCTTACAGATTATCACCCTCCGTAAAACCCATCAACAATAAATCCTTGCTGCTGGTATTCATATTGTTATTTCTGGTGAAAGAAATTTAATTTCACCGTATTATGTTCATCGCAGATACGGAAGATTTATAAGCTGAGATAAAACTGGAATGTACTATGGAATTTTCCCGATTTATAAACTCGATACCATCTAGTGAGCAGTGCAGATTTAAAAATATGTGGAAAATAAAGTTGCTTGGCTTATATGCTCTATGAAAATTCATTCTGTGTAGGATCAGAGAAGTTAGGTAAATATATAAACTGTACTCAACTCGTAACTCAATTTGTTTTTCCGAAAACTGTCATAAAATGTTGACATTTTCATCAAAATCAGCAAAGTGGCACTTTTCTGTCACTCAGCTGATAAATACTTTCACGTACTATCAGCAATAACCTTTCTTGGGACAATCACGTGAGATCAATTGCTAAAAGTGCATCCCAAAAACTTGGTTTTCTGTTTCGGGCCAGGAGCTATTTCACTTCCAGTCAGCTGCTTATGATCTATAAGGCACAGATCCGACCTGTCCTAGAAAACTGTTCCCATATTTGGAGTGCAGCACCCAAACATACCCTGAAACTCTTGGATTCTGTCCAAAAAAGGGAAGTTCATCTCGTGGGTGATGCATCGCTCACACAAAAGTTGGAGATCTGGCTCTATTTTATAGATATTTTCATGGACAATGCTCTTCTGGAATATCAACAATTGTTCCTCCCTTGGCAGTCCCCGCGAGATTAACCCGTCGAGTTGAGGCTTCACACCCCTTCGTGGTCACTTTGGAGACCTGCAGAACATCTCTTTCCAAAGACTCGTTCATACAACGAACAGCGAGGCTCTGGAACACATTGCCTCCAGAAATTTAAGGAGAACACCAATTCCTACCTTATTTCCCTTGGTTCTCACGATGTTCTCTGAACATTACAGAATATTCCCTTTCGTGGGAACCAGAACATAAAAAAAACAATAATCTGGAGAAACATATTTGATCAAGATTGAAAGTATATCTATGCAGTTTCCGTTATGATATACGGTATACATGATATTTCCAACTGTATAATTTATAGACCTAATAACTCATTGTGTACTTCGTCGGTTCATCTGTTTTCCAGAACCGCACATAAATTAGACAGTATCACAGCCTGACTTTGTAGTTCCAATTCCAACGTAGATATCATCCAGAATATTAATCGCTGAACCAAAAATTAGTAGGGGCGCTATTCGTTTTTCTTCCCTATTTCAGCATTGATTTATTGGACGTTATAAATCATCCAATTAGAACCAGAATTCATAACTTTACTATGACGGTTAGTGAAGTTGGAAGTAGAAATATGCACTCTCATGTCACTAATGATAGACGACACATTGATGATGATCTTCTAAAAAAATTGAAAAAACATTCTTTTGTCAAAAAACCCTATATATTCAGGATTATGTCAACTGAAGAGAGCTACTGAGGTAGGTAAAACGCAGATTCTTGAAAATCCTTCTATGACGTCACCGTTACTTCATCGATAGCCGCTGAAGTAGCCATTTTGCTTTGATGTGTCAATATGATTTGATGCTAGCTTGATACCATATTCACTTTTTGTCTCCATTTCCTCAGTCAGTTTCTTCATTCAGTGACATATATGTCATTTTCAAGAATCAACCATATGATGAACGTTATTCCTTGATAAATGTTGATCATGTTTATCAAAAGTTGTAACTACCTAGAATCGATTTCCAAAATATACGGACGTTATTTTCAGGAGCCCAGTATCACAGATCAATGAAATATTTGAATCAAAACAGTATCCACTTGGAATATTTCGCGACCTCTCTAAGGCATTTGATTGCGTTAGTCATAATATACTTCTAAATAAACTAGAATACTATGGAATCAGAGGTCTTGCTAAAGATTGGTGCAAATCATATCTATCGCGACGAATGATGTGTGTCAGAGTGAAATATGAAATATCAGGAAACGTATCTAACCAAGATTCAGAATATACTCATATATACAGGCAGGAGTCCCACAAGGTTCAGTGTTGGGCCCTATATTATTTCTGATCTATGTGAATGACATTGTTTGGAACTTTCCTTCAGTTACCTTCACACTGTTTGCTGATGGCACTAGTATACTAGTTACGGACAAAAATTCGGACCTGATCACTACTTCGTCAGTAGGGATAATGGAGGGAGTGTCAGACTGGTTTTTATCGAATAATTTGTTTCTTAACTATTGTAAATCCTAGGAATAAACATAGATTGCAAGTTAAACTGGTTGGATCATTCCTCTGCACTTCAATCTAAATTGAGTTGGTCAATTTTAACTCTGCGTACTACTAAGAGAAATACCAACCTCGCGACCACAAAATTAGTATACTTCGCTTATTTTCACAGTATCATGCAATATGGTATAGCATTTTGGGGTACATCTATATACTCGGCAGAGGTGTTTGTGATACAAAAGAAAGCCATTCGAGTATTATTTGGTTTAAATTATAGATACCCTTGCAGATCATCACCTTAACGAACACCTATATATTTAAAATAATTATGATAGTACACAAAAAACGAGCAACACTGACACGACCATCAAACAAACATACATATCCAACTAGAAATAAAGACTATATCTATTATAACTACAATAGATCCAGGAATGGACCAGTATGAAATCTTCAAATATATCTGAGGATGTTCCTTTTCAATATGTTCACTATCATTTAGAAGAATACTTCTCTCACAATTTAGAATTAGATATCAAATGAAATTTACTGTTTATGTACAGTGCTTGCTCGACTTTCTCGATGCTTTACGCTAGATAATCGGAAATACCTTTTGTTAAATTATAATGTAATATTGACACCACTGTTCTTTCGATTCTGAGAAATAAATATATCTATCTATCTATATCTAATCGTAAAATACTATCACTATGATCTCATTCCCAAAATGAAAACTTGAAATGAATTGATTAGTGTATAGCAATGCAATCTTTGTTCAAGGTGGAGCTGGAAAACTGGGTGAACAGCATACACAGCGCATGCGCAGCAGCGTTCGCGCGGCATCGAGGAAAAACCGGTACGCTGCACCTGCTGCAAGAAGAAATTTTTCGTCTGGAGAAATCCATCGAAACGGTGAGCTGAATAAATCATGATTCGGAGAACATTAGGTGAGGGGTCATTTTAGCCGACCCCTCCACTTCAACCCACGTCATCATGACAACACCTTTTTCAATTGTTATTCTTGGAGCGCCAATTGTAATTCAGAAATCATCTCTTGTTATTCAGGAAATACTCTGGACTTAGATAAGAGTTGAGAATAAAGAGAGTAACGAATGGTTTATCATGAGTTGAACATTTATATTTTATATTCATCGACCAACGGGGATATCTTGAAATACCAGAGCTGCGGATGGTGAATGGTGATGGTGTGTTGTACAGCCCTAGCACAATCACCTCCAACAATGATTGTATCTTTGGCCTGATCAATATTCTGTTCAACATACACAAGTCGTTGTTCTCCAACACCCAGACCGTCAACTTGTGGTACTCCAAGATTTACTTTCATATGAGACAGTTCTACATTAGGGAGTATGGACCCAAACGAAGAAGACTTGATTCAGTTCCACCCAGAACGTTTTTAAATCTGGAATGGCAAGGTGTATTGTGCCCTATCGCTAACAAGGACGACATTGGATAATTGATTTCCTTGAGCTAGCCATAGCTGCAATAATCTTAGCACCCAAGCATTGGCTATATCGGAGTGAAAGAGCATCTCCTTCTTTGGAAGTGTACTGTGTACTCCTGCTGCCAATATTGCTCCAATTGAATGATACTTCCTGAATTACAAGTTATGCTTTCTGACTCACAATTGGAGCTTTCTGGAATACAATCCACAATTCTGAATTGCGAGTAAGACTTTCTGAATTACCTTTCACTAATCTGAATAACATCTCACGCTCTCTGAATTTCAATTAACAAATCTGAATTTCAAGTTATACTTTCTGAATTACAATCAACTAATCTGAATAACCAATTTTATTTTTTCATTCACATTTTATACTTTCCGAAATACAATTGAGAAAGGTGTAGACCAATGAAAATGTTCTATTTCACTAGTCGAGATATTTTCGACGGCACTTCATTCTTTACAGCCTACCAAGTGCTATTCTCGCATTCAGACCAGGACATAGTGACAGGTGAGACTTTCCCATTTTACACTGCATCCCTTTTTAAGGCTCCATAATTAACCCCAAAATAACCATCACGTGTGCACTTCATGAAGAAAGCGTTTTTCCCTACAACTGTCTTAAATTCTTTTCTTAAATTTATTTTGCGTGCCTGTCAATAAAAGTACACTTTTTTCACGGTTGTTGCTAGGCGATGGAATGAATGCTTTCGTGAAAGGGACCCAAACACTGTGTTGTTGGTAGGCTGTTTTGTTCGACGAACGAGCAAAAATGACGCAAAACCAAAGTGTGGATTTGCAAAATTGTCGTTTCGGCTAGCCACGGTTCTGCGTTATTTTTGTTCAAACATACTTGTTCGACGAACAAAACAGCCCACCAACAACGCAGTCTATGGGCTCCTTTACGGGATTGAGAAAGGCAGCAAGTGAACAGAACAAGGCGGACAATCACAATAAGCTCCCCGCGTAGCTCTACTACTATAGGAAACAGAAAAATGCAGTCCGTTTGGCCGCTGCGGATTGCATGCCATCAATTATTAGCGCTACAGTTCATTTGAACTTCCGTATTTCCAAAACACGAGAATTCTTCACCAAAATAAAGCGCTTTTCACTATGGAGTGCACACGTGCGGAGGCCATCCACCGTCTATTGTTCATATTTTGGGGTCAATTATCAAGCCTTAAAAAGGCATACAGTATAAAATGACAGAACGTCACCTGTCACCATCTCCTGATCTAATTGTGAATTGCGAATTTTGTTACAAGGATACGCTGCCACATAATCGCCATTAACCCTTCTCCTACACTACGTTATGGCCAAGAATAAAACAATTACAAGGAAAATGGCTGCGTGAACGACGATACTCAACGTTATACTCGATTTCACAAGAGAATCGTAAATCTGTAGAGCCCTGCTGTTCGTTTTGTTCTCTGCCATTCCAGATTTCTGTTGTTCTGTTTCATAGCCTTGGCGTTTATTTCGTCTTCTGGGTTGAAAATGATCTGATTGTGACGATGTGTTCCCGCAGTTTGTATGGGCTCCAAAAAGTCTGATTTAATCTTTTATGTAGAGAAGTGGGCAAAAAAAGGTCAGTGCTGTATCTTCTGAATTCGAGATCGGATTTCAAAAATTGTTGGGTATCAAGTATACCAAATTGCTCACTAATTGACAATAGTATTGTTACGTTATTCAGGTGCAGATGCGAACACGACACAATTTATTTTAGAACTGATTCATTCTAACTAAAGGAACACTAATTTATATCGAACTTATAACTAATATTTATGTGAAACGATTTATATCACGCGGTATATGACTATCTCTCTGACACACGCTGCTTGACTGACTGACGGCAGTTGTCTGGTCGTCCTAGTATATAAGATCCCTTGGTAGGCTTTGCTTTTCGAACGTTCTCGAATGATCTTCCGTGCACTTCTTTTTAGTCTAGAAGCTTCTTAGAACAATACCTTTCTCTTCAATTGTTTCATAGATTGTTTCCAGAACATTCCAGACTCTTCTGTCACGTTCTTCTTATTTATCACCGCGACATATATTGAGTGTTCGGAAATAGGCTGATACATGTAGGAATCACTAGGATGTTAGAGAACAATCTGGCATGTGTGTTACAGGATGAGCTTTTACTCCTGCCTTCCTGATGATGTTCCAAGAGCCACTCTAAAGGAAATATCATGACAGTATATTACATAATAAGAGTTTAAAAACGCATATTACGCATGAAGGGGAGAGAGTTACACACGATGCCGCGTGTAACGCCTCTCACGTCTTCTACAAAAGGAGAAGGCTGTGAGGTTCTCAGATATATCATGAACATAAAAAATAGAAACATATAAAGAAAAACATTGAGTATTCGAATCGAAGGCATTCAATTGCTACGTAATTGAGTCATGGTTCGACATAAACTTCGAATCACTTTCTATGTGTCCTATAAACTTGAGAGAAACAATCGTAAAACGGTTTCACTATCTGTATGCTGTTTTCTTCACTGATATCAATAAAAATATATTCACACTCATAAAATACCATGAAATTTTGATGGAGCATTGGGATATAACGGAATTATGAATATAAGAATAGCTTAGGAAGATATCGTTGACTCAGTGAACTGTAGATGATCCAACCAATTCGTATTTTCCCCTTCCAATATCAACCTAGGTCTACATAAAAATACCTGCATCATAATTTATTCACGAAATAGTTTCACAGACATCAGACAGGGACACAGAGAAATCTGCTAACAAATCAATGTTCTCTTCATGCTGACATCCACCAACTATCGAATTCTGGCTAACAAAATTACCGGGCAGCATAATTCAGAATTGAGAGTACTAGCACGTACATCCAATATTATCTTGTCAATTTCAATTAATCACATGTTGAATCACGATCGATTCGACCATTTCAACGAGACACATATTCGCCAGAGATGCGCAACATGTAGAGACAATATAACTTTCACAAGTAGAACGTATGTTCCCAATATTTCAGGATGTACTCCAAGAGGAAGCATATTATATACATCTCCCAGAGGAATAAACTGAAATTATTCTATGAATGAGTCAGGGAATTCACGAAATAGACCCAAACTCTAGAGTTGAAAAACTCATCGAAATATCCAGAAACTGTCAAAGGCTAACCACACTGTATCGGTATAAATCATTCACTATCACCACATATCTCTATCTATAGTGATAATCAGCTTCCTAGATCTTGCTTGGTATGCTTTCCAGGTAGTATAGAGTAGGAATATTGCAATATTCTTCGATAGCCAAGCGGCTCTGGAATCATTTAGCTTGTACCGATCAACATCTCAATTGGTATGGAACTGCCAAAACATACTGTCCTCAACGGAAAGATTCAACAAATTGTCACTGGTCTGGATTCCTGGTCACTCTAGTATAGAAGGTGATGAAACGGCAGATTCATTTGGAAGGAAAGCCGAAGCGATTGGTTCCTCCTGACCAGAACCTGCCACTGGCATCTCATCAAGTTTATTGAAAGCCTGAATGGAAGAAATATATCAGACTTCTGACAGAATTTATCAGGACTGGCTCATCGCAAGTCATCTTATCCGTCCTCAGAAGAATGTCTCCAATCGAATGATAGATTACAATAGGGAATACCTATATACGCTCTTAATCAGTCTATCCACAGGTCACTCTAATCTCTCTCAGGAAGACCATGGAACAGCAGAGCACATAATTTATACCGGTCGTGAATTGGCAGGGTTTCACTTTCGCTCTTGGACCTGGAAGATCATTCACCGGTTTCATTGAAAAGATGGACTCTTCTTGGTGAAATCAATTGAATTGCCTCCAACGGGTCGGAGTAGAGGACCAAATAGACTCAATTACACTGAACCCAATCCAAACTAATGCCAATAATTCATGATCAGTCCACTCGCTCATTCTCCTGCTTCGCTTGTATCCCATGAAGTTCAAAAAACACATCATTGCAGTATTGTATCGTTACCATAGTTCTCACTTTTGATTTCCAATGATATCAATAAATGAAGAGGTATAGTTTTTTTGAGTGCATTTCCATGCAAATAATAATAGGGGCTCGAGGGATGATCAAGGGAGATTTTATTATCGATCGATATGGAATGTTTGATCAGTATGTCAGTGTTTCGGTAGCCTACAGGGTCAATTAGTATTCCACTAAATTTACTTCACGAACTGCGTGCAATTTGTTTACTGCTGACCAATGTTGGCCTGACCGCAATGTGTAATCAATCGATTTTCACCCTCCAATGGAGAAAGAAAGTAGCTCAAGTACAGTCCGAAGGCTCACTAATGTTTCGTGGAACGGTCTATATTAGTTATTCGAATAACTCCTAGATTTTCGCTCAAATTACAAAAACCCTGATTGACACTACCTACTAGGTTAGTGTGTTTCGGTATAGATTACTGAGCAGTTAGAGTGATTTCAGTTAAGC